GGCCGCCGCCACCGGCCTCGGCGCCGTCGCTGCAGCCGTCCATGTCGTCAGGGCCCTCGTGGTCGCTGCCGTCAATGGGGCCTCGTCACCGTCTGTCGCTTGTGCTTTCGTCGCCGTCCGTCGCCACCGTCGCCACAAGAGTCGTCATCACCGTCGCCGCCGCCACCGCCGTCGTCGCCGTCGCCGTCGCAGCCGCTGCCGCGGCGACCCGAAGTCGCCAGATCGCCTCCGCCGCCGCTGCGGCGAGAAAAGCAGGAGCGCCGACGCAGCGCAACGCAACGTCCGACCGAGCGGTTCGGGGAACGGCTCGCCCAAATAATGAAGCGGACACAAATACTTCTGCACATGCGTAGCAAATACACCCTTCCCACACGTTCAAGCATCACGTGTGTTTGTCGGCCATAAGCTGCAATTGCCCCCTCGAGAGCATTGAATAGAAAACTCCTGCAATGCCGCAATGCTTCTTGGAACAAAGCCATTGACGATAAACACTTGCGCGCAGAACCGGTCCATTTTGTCCTAGGTCTGAATCGGCGTGTTCGGCCGCTGGTTAGGCGCCCATCGCCTGACATCTGCCGGCCACGAGGCCAGAACGCACAGACGCGACACCAACCGCCATTGCGCTGGATCTACTGTTGGGCCCATTCAGAAACAGCGGATTCATCGCCTGCTCAATGTTGCACTTGAAGCGCCGACCCGTGCCCTCCCGAGTCCCATGCGGCCGCGTCGAGAATCCCACCACTCTCGACAGCATGCTGTCCCAAGCGGCTGTCAGCCTCGAACACTGTCTGGCGGCAGTGCCCAGAGGAGCCGGTCCGTACACAGTTGCAGGAGTGATCACATATTCGAACAATGCCAATCGAAGGCGCAGCGATATGCTCTTAGTAGTAAACGTCTGCTGGTTAGCGTGAAGTGACCCCACGTGCACTCCAGTCTGTAGTCGAAGTGAGGTCTTTGCGGCCAGTCAAATTGCCACTGAATTACGGACGAGGCACGTCTGGAATTCATGACACGTCATAAGAGGTAACGACACAGCGCCACACGAACCCACCATCCGAACTTCAGCGTGGGACGCATTCGGGCCGTTCGTGACAATCCTCGTCATGCCCGCATTCAGGCTGAGGCATTGCTTCCGCAGCTCCGTGTTCAGCGCGGCGAGCATCCGCATTGCTTCCTCTGGTGATCCACCGTACGACAAAATGCCGTCCGCGTGCCAGATGTTGCTCACGCGCTCGCCGGGCCCGGCTCGAAATCCGCAGTTGGGGCACTTCGGCTTGAAGTCACGCCCCGCCGAATCAAGCCCAGCATGAAAGAAGATTTCAGATCGCCTTGTTGGACGCCGCGGTCAATGTCAAACATATTTTTGTTCTGCACCTGGCATGTCTGGTTCACACGTCTGCCAATAAACACACATACTCGTGAGGAACACCCTGTTTACACAGAGCGGCAAGAAGCATCAGATGTCTATCTGATCGAGGGCTTCAGTTAGATCATGCCTGACAACCCACAACGATGCTCCATACACCCACGTCTTCGTGCAGATCTCCAACACAACGAATGCGTAGTCGACTGGTCGGTTCGGTCGAGAATCGACTTGGCCTTTGTGTTCTTGACGGTCTGTATGTGGCTGCAGACGTGCAAACAGCATCCTGGAGAAAATCTCAAACGCAACCGTGAATATCGCAATTGGCCTCCAATTTA